GACCTGATGATTTATATTCATCAAGGTTGGATAGGTGTTCTCTTATTATTTTCTTGCTTATTTTGATTTTTGTTTCTCTTTAGTGGACCTACAGTTTCCTTGACTTTTTTTTGTTATTAATATATTGAAAAAAAACTTTTTTTATTATCCTTGATTTCTGTTGCAAGTCTTTGCAGCAATTAATGTTTGATTTATTTATTGAGGTTATTAAGGCTTATTTAGATTAATTATCTTGATAAAGGTAAAGCTTAAATTTCCCCTCTCCAGTCATATCTGACTTCTAGAGAGTAGTATTCATCTCCATTTCTTAGCTGAGTGAGCCAGAATTGTCCAAAGACAATTTTGTGATCATGTGGCCAACATGACTGTAGACTGAAGTGCATGAATGCTGTTACCTTCCCACTGAAATGGTACCTGTTTATCTACTCGCTTTTGCATGCTTTCAAGTTGATAGCTTGGCAGGAGCTGGGACAAGTAATAGGAGCATTCAGGTCTTGAACCTGGGTTGTCAACTTTCCAGATGACAAGCTCAGTATCATTAACTGCTGAGCCATCTCACCCCATTAATTATTTTGATAAGAATTTTTAAACTATTTTATTAGTCATGTCATCATTTAAAAATTATTTGTTATAAATTATCTATATTTGTTCCCAACAATGCTGCTATCATTCTGCTTTTTTGCAGAACATTGAATCAATTTGTATTTTTTGGATGAAGTCCTGTGTAGAATATAATAATATTGTTTCTGTATGACATCTGTTTTATAATTTATTGGGATATACTGCACCATTTCCAATGTTAGTTATCTATATTTGAATACTTGAGTCTCTCTCTCTCTCTGATATTTGAATAAAAGAAACAACACACACACACACACACACACACACACACACACACACACACACACACACACACACACATATATATATATATATATATATATATATATATATATATATATATATATATCTTCTAATTTCTGGGTGTCTGGAAAGTAAACATGCTTGAAAAAGTTATTTTTCTACTTATATTTCTTTGAGATTTTTTTTTTAATTGTGGATTTTCTTTTAGCAATGTTCTTAAACTTACTTTTTTAAAATTCTGACTTGGAGAAATTTATTTATTTAAATTTATTATAGCTGCCCAATTCCCCCCAAAAACAATAAAAACCGATAAAAGATAAAACCACTTATACAGCCCAGATTAAAATGATATAAAAGTGATATAAGTTAAACAAAACAAAGCAAAATGATTCTTATAAATCAGATAGATATCAGGCCAGACCTCAGGACATTGAAAGTACCCCCTTACAACTAAGATAATAACAAGTATTCTGCCAAAATGTTCTTTGCAATTATTTTCTTCATTAAGCTGAATAACAATACATTGTCAGCTAGAATGTGTTGATTGGTGGAGCCCAGAATGAAAGCGTTTTCTGATCTGATACCCACCATTTTGAAGATCATTTCCCCAAGATTAGATTGTCCTGTCGGCATTTTATAGGCCTTGAAAGATTTTGTGCTTGAGTCTGGGTTATTGGGCATGGTTTAGAGCAGGGGTCCCCAACCCCCAGTCTGTGGATCGGTACCAGGCTGTGGCATGCCAACAACCGGACCGCACAAAGAAGCGAAGTCCCATCCGCGGGATGCAGACAGCATACAAAACCATGCATTCTCTGGTCCATGAAAAAGCTTTCTCCACAGAATTGGTCCCTGGTGCCCAAAAGGTTGGGAACCTCTAGGTTAGAGCCCATTTTCTGGTTGTATAGATGATAGGTTAGATCATGCCTGGCTGCTATATGTTTTTATTTTTCTTTTATATTATCTATTTTGTGTTGATTATTTTACTTTTCATGCCATTAACTAAGGGAAAACTTTTGCTGATCTCCCTGGCACTGCTTCAGTCCAAAGAATGGATTACCTCTCCAGATTTATCACCACAAATGACAAATTGCAGAGTAAGCAACCAACAGAATTGAAAACTACAGAAATACAAGTGCATTATGAATGAAATTCTAAATTAGTTTAATTGTAAGGCTGAACTCACACATTATTTGTTCAATTATCTTTATGCAGAAATAAATCCCAATGAATCATGAAACTTACTCTTCAATACATGTATATTTTATCACAGTTCAACCTAAAGGCCAACATTATTAGGATTAACTCCAACAATTTATATTTCTACTCCTCAGTAGTGTTAAAATAATAGTATCTGGAGTGGCCATTGATCATATATTCCCTTATATATTTTTTAAAAATTCTTTTCAGGGGGTTGTTTAGTTTTGGTTTAGGGTTTTATTATTGTCTCCTTATACTTTTATCTGGGTTGTTGTAATTGCTATTATTACGATTGTTTGATTTGCTTTTAATTTAATTATGGATGTTTTATTTCTTTTATAGCCTGTAGGTTGTAAAAACTCATTTGATTATGATGGCATAGAAATATCATAAGTAACTTGTTAAATAGTTGAAATGCAATTAAAATAATGTACTCCTCTATATTTAAGAGAAAACAAAATGAAGGTGTCAATGGGATGAAAATGCATTAAAAGCTGCATTTGGATTTTCTGTATTAAAAATCTTTGAAATTCCCGAAGAAAATAAATAAATTCCCTTCCCACACACTGATATTAGAAAAGACATTTTAAGGAATATGATCTTTATAAAATTGTTTAGTAGAAATGAAATACTGTGTAGAACAAAAAGAAGAAATACTCTGCCATTCAACTCTCTTGTGATATCCTTTAATTATTCTGCATGTTCAAACCACCAGAAGTTCTGAAAGAGATTAATAGATGTTAAACAAGTGTTTTAATGAAATTAAGGGCAGTTAGAGGCATGAAAGAGAAGTAGTCATTTACCTTTGTATCTTATGTTTCTCAGAAACAATTAGCATGTGATAGATCATTTGAATCTCTTAATTGCAGTGATGGTGCTTGAAATCAGTCAGTAAGGGAAATCCATCAATGAATCAGTCACTTACAAATATATTTCAAGCATCTCATATTGTATGTGGAGCCACCAGTAACTTGTTAGCTGATTCATGTACAAATATATTAATTAGGTTCATATGTCAACTAAACTATAGTATACTAAAACATGTTTTGTTAAATAAACTATTTGTAATTTATTTAACTAAGCTACAAATTATGGCTTATAAACAATCTAGGTTATATAATATGGTAAGCCAATACCCAGCCAACTGCTTTGAGAGTCAATGTGATCTGTGAACATAGTCACCATGTACAATTGTGGATGTGAATTTTGCATAAGTTATGGGGGAACTAGATATATAAAATTGTTCTTAGACAAAATGAAAATACACAATAGAACTCCATAGTTCCTGATAAAATACTAGGCAATAAAATGTAACCTATATAACGTAATATGCAGCAGGGTATCTCTCTCACCACAACAGAGTTTTAAACCTTGTCTTTTCCAGACTGAATAGTGTAGCTTCAAGATATAGGACATCCTAAAAATATTTCTTCAGAAACATTAATCTTGAACTTTGCAGAACGTTAGAGCACAAACCATAATGTGTAAATAGATAAAACCCAAGACTTTACTGACAGCCATGTCCAGTAATTCATTCTATTTTAGTGACTTTATTTATTGCCTCCAAGATCAATAAAATGACCTGATTTCAGACAAAACTCCACATTACAAGAGAAAAATATATCTGTCCAGTGACTCACAGAAAGTAAAAAAAAAAAAAAAAAGGTTTTAATGACCAAAGGCAACTATGTTTCTATTCCTAAGGGTTGCCAAATATACTTACAGTTTGTGAAGACTGGAAGCATTGATATTAAAAAGATTTCCTTCTTCAAAACATATCTGCTGTTACATCCAAACAAGAGAATACTGCATTGTCTACAAGACAGTTTCTCTTGGAAGTACAGTGGTACCTCGGTCCTCAGTGTTAATTCTTTCTGGGAGGTACGACAGGTACTAAAAAGAATGAGTCCCAAACAAATCACATGACTTAACATGTAACCCTTTGTTTCAGCCAGGAAATTTTTTTTGTCTGTCCCTTTTCCTGTGCAATCTTTCCAGCATAGGCGATTTCCTGTCCACCTTCTGTGGCTGTCCCCCTCCTTTTGCAGCATGGCTGATTTCCTGTCCATTCCCCACAGCCATCTCCATCTTCCTGTAGCAGGGTATCGAATACTAAACAAAAGCCAAGTGATGGGACAACATTTTCATGTCAAAATGTGTCAAGAACCAAATTTGACAAGCTTTGAAGTAGTAGAGAATTGAGGTACCATTGTATTTTCCATTGTGCAGATGGATTCAAGTCAAGAAGTCATTATGAATCAAATCCTATTGAAGTTTTTCAAGGTGTTTAATATATAGTTCATCTGATAGAATGAATTATCCTATTTATTCCAAGTTGTTCTTTTGTCGGGTCTTTTTTTGAAAGCAGTAATATCAAGGAGAATACATGTGCCACTTGATATGTAAGTAGGCACACATACCTACATTAAAGATTATGAGATCTGAGCCTTTACATAAGTAGTGTAATGAGGCCATAATGTCTAGTATAATACTCAGCCAGGACTATATGGCCTTTTTTTCAGAATATTTATGGGAATTTGCTGCCTACTGTGCATGCATTCTAAAGCATCAGACTATTTACTGTGATAGTTCTACAAAAGTTCATATAATTGCATGGTGCCTGTAAGATAATTTTCTGTGACTTTCTGAAAATATAAGGTTGAATCATGAATGCTTTTGTCTCAGATCAATATCAGTTAGGAATGGCATCATACAGGAAAGACTGAAAACTGGTAGAAAGTATTGCTGTCTACTGAAGCAAGTCAAGGACATTAATTTAAACATACAGTGTACAGGTAGTCTTTGCTTAATGATGTAACCAGAATTTCTGTCACTAAGCAACGTGGATGTATAGCACAACACATGACCTCATTGCTTAGTGATGGAAATCCTGACAGGCCTTGTTGCCATTGTTAAGCAAGAATCACAGGTAGTTAAGTAAGAATCTTCACAATTTCCTGCCAGCTTTCAACAACCAAAGTTAATGGGGATGACAATAGGAATTCGTAGTTTCCAGGTGGGTCACAGGTAGGCCAACAAACACCTAAGTGGTGCACATGTGTGATTCTGGATCCAGGAGGTGGTTGCCAGGTGGGGAAATATGTGTGGCTGGTTATAGTGGTATGTGCAAGGGATTTGGGACCCAGGGGTGGTTGTTACTGGATGGCTTTAACTTTGTTTGAGGGAAGCTTGTTCATAAATAGCAAATATGAGACCACAAAGTGCTATAACTATTGTAAGTGTGAACTGGTTGCTATGTATTCAGATCACGATCTCATGATTGTGTGGGTACTGGGACAGCTGGAACTTTGAGGATTCATTGTAAGTAACTTTTCAGCAGAATCCCAACTTTGAATCACTGCTGAATGTGTTGTTGATAAGCAAAGCTCTACATATACATATGATCCATATTTGAGTAAGGGCCATTTGAAAAGTATAACATTTTAAAAAGTATATGTATTTTTAATTACATGTAGATGAACTATAATTGCTATCTGGATTAGACAGCATCACCACCAGATGGATTCGTAGCTGGCTGACTGGCCGTACTCAATAGAACCGCATCTACATGGAGGGAAGTGTGTAGTGGGATGCCCCAGGGCTCTATTCTGGGCCCAGTGCTCTTCAACATCTTCATCAACGATTTGGATGAGGGGATAGATGGGGAACTCATCAAATTTGTAGATGACACCAAACACTCAGCCAACACTCCAGAAGACAGGCTTAAGATACAAGAAGATCTGGACAGACTTGAACAATGGGCACTATCTAACAAAATGAAATTCAGTGGTGAAAAAAGTAAGGTTCTACATTTAGGCAAGAAAAAACAAATATACAGGTATAGTATAGGGGATACCTTGCTCAATAGTAGTAACCGTGAGAGGGATCTCGGAGTTCTAGTGGACAATCACTTAAATATGAGCCAACAGTGTGCTGCAGCTGCCAAAAAAGCCAACACAGTGCTGGCTGCATTAACAGAGAGATAGAATCAAGATCTCGTGAAGTATTAATACCGCTTTACAATGCCTTGGTAAGGCCACACTTGGAATACTGCATCCAGTTTTGGTCACCACGATGTAAAAAAGATGTTGAGACTCTAGAAAGAGTACAGAGAAGAGCAACAAAGATGATTAGGGGACTGGAGGCTAAAACATATAAGGAACGGTTGCTGGAATTGGGTATGTCTAGTTTAATGAAGAGAAGGACGAGGGGGGACATGATAGCAGTGTTCCAATATCAGGGGCTGCCACAAAGAAGAGGGATTCAAGCTATTTTCCAAAGCACCTGAAGGCAGGACAAGAAGCAACGGATGGAAACTAATCAAGGAGAGAAGCAACCTAGAACTAAGGAGAAATTTCCTGACAATTAGAACAATTAACCAGTGGAACAACCTGCCTCCAGAAGCGGTGAATGCTCCAACACTGGAAGTTTTTAAGAAGAGACTGGACAGCCATTTGTCTGAAATGGTATAGGGTTTCCTGCCTGAGCAGGGGGTTGGACTAAATGACTTCCAAGGTCCCTTCCATCATCATCATCATCATCATCATTATTACAAAGAATTCCATCTCATTGTTTGTGACACAATCATTTCTTCAAGATTGTCAATCAATAATTCTTGAGTTAAATATTGCTTGTGAACTGAAATGCATATTTAGTAAGAATACATATATTCTTAGAATTCTAAGAATTCATAGTTTGGTATAGTGGTTAAGTACCAGGCTAGAGATTGTGACAACTATTCCTGTCACTCTCAGACAGCACTCACTCTGAGTCCTGGAAGAAGGCAAGGCACATCACTTCTGAAAAACCTTGCCAAGAAAACTGCAGTCAGAAAACTAGTTCAGGCAGTCACCAGGATTCAATATTAACTCAAAAGCACCAATATAAATAAATTTAGTTTAGTTTAGCATTTGGTTATAATTCTGTATTTATCATTTAAAATAATGTATGGTTTTCTTATAATGTGTTTATATTATAGATAGTCCTTGACTTACAACAAGTGGCTTAACAGCTGTTCAAAGGTAGGTCGGAAACCCAAAGTAAAGTTCCAACTGCATCCAAGATTATAATCCAGCACAAGGCCTAGGATTTGGTCTTTCTAGAAGAAGTAGGCATTTTAGGTCATGTGATCACCCTACCCAGAAGTCATTAGTAGTTACAATGATTGATTTCCAAGTCCCACACAATTGCAGTTGTTGTTTTTCCCCTGGTCATATGATTGCGTGACATGTGGGGCTTTCACAGAAGGCCTGGGCATAAGAGTGCAGGACATTCAGGGCCTTCACAGCAAGGGCATTTGTATAATTGTGTGACTTTGCAGTCAGCATACCTTTTTTTCCTTTATGACTGTTGTGTGTAGGACCAGTGGAGTGATGCTTGAGTACACCTTACAAGAAAAGTAAATACTTTTTCCATTCAGTGTTGTATTAACTTATTCTTGCCTTTAATATTTTCCCAGTTTTTCTTTAAATTGAGTACAGTTAGAGATTTGTATCATGATATGAATCTTCCTTCCTTTGCCTCCCTACTTTTTAATTGTATTTAACAACACTAGTTTGCTGTTTTAAAAGTTTTTTATATTCCAAGGTATTCCTTCCTTTACAGTACAATTTTAGAAGCAGAAAGCAGCCAAGCTAATTACAAAGTATTGTATCTATTGCTGTATTACTGCTATAAGGTAAGCATTTTATTTACTGTAGCGTCATAGTGTTAATAGTTAGTTTATTGATCTAAGAGGTTTATTTTATTTTATTGTATTTATTTTTATTCTTGTTTAGTTTATTTTTATTTAAACAATATACAATACAGTAAGCTAAATCTTGCCGTGGTTGATAGGATTAATAATAGAGGGTATTTCTGGCTGGCTACAGGTATACTGTACTGTGCTGTCTCAGTGGCTGTGGTTGATCTAGGAGATTTATTTTATTTCATTTTTACTATACTTTATTTGTTTTATTTTTATTTTCTTTCTTTTATTTTAACTCCTTTTCCAATCCTTCAGAAATATTCTAGTAGCAATGTGTGTGCAAAATAATGTTGAGAATCTTCAACTGATTTCTCTGCTTTCTCTCTTCAGTTGTGGAGTCTCATCTACATTTGCTGTGTTTTCCAACAGCAACAGAAGACTGCACCAACAGCTCAAGTGGTGGAGAAAAGGTGGCCAGTGGCAACGTGAAGCTACTGACTGGTGTGGCAGCTGGGGTCAGTGTAGAAGCGGCAGGTGGTGGCAACACAAAGCTACTGACCAGTGGGGTGGCTGGGATAGCACAGAGGTGGCAGGTGATGGCAGCAGCAGGCCTACAGGTGGTGGCAAGGCAGCACGACAGAGGCGACAGAGCAGTGGAGGACCCAACTGGCAGCTCAAGAGAACCAGAGTGAATGTCAGAGACAGAGCAACGGCTGGAGATGGAGTGACAGAGCAATGGATGGAGGCAGTTGGTGGCAAGGCCCAGCAGAGAAAACTCGGCTACTAAACCTGATCATCAGAAATGGCTGGAGATAACTGGGGACAGCTAGAAAGACTGGCTGAGCACAGAAAGGGAGGCAAAAACCAAGGCAGAGAGGACAGAGATAAATAAGGAGCAAATTAAGAAAAGGAAGGACAGTGAAGAATTTTTAGAGAAGGAAGCAGCCCTGCCTTTCATTAAATAGCCCTATTCCAACACTAACTCTTAACTTAAATATAAATGCAATTTTTTTTCCTTTTAAAACCAAAGGGCACACTACCACATACTTATCTAAACCAAAATAGCAAGGCAGAAAAACAAGCACAAAAAGGCAGAAAAAAGGACAGAAAAAAATAGGCATAATTACCCAGAACAGAGAATCTAGAAACAAGGCAAAGCACATCCACCAACGAAAAAGAGGGATTGACTGATACTATTGTGGTATGCAATACATGTTCTATATATGCCCAAAGAACACCCAAACTATACATGCATTAGATGTAAACTATGTGAATTGCTATAGGAAAAGGTAAGGAACTTAGAGGCAACTCTAGCCAAACCCCAATATACAAAAGAAAGCTCGACCCAAAAGAACCAATTAATAAACAAATAACTCCCAGAGTATTTGATCCTATTGATAAAACCTTGGAGGAAGACAAATGGAGGTATGTCACACAAAGAAGGAAACACAATACTCAAAGAAAGAAGCAGCATACATTTAACAAACTCCTTCTGCCCAATCCAAACCAACCAGAAACAGCCCCACTAAAACTGAGCAATCAATTTCTCCCACTAGATGGAAACATGCAGACCCACAACCTTTCCCTCCCCAAAAAAACACAAAAAAAAAACCCAAAAAAAACCATGCAGACATCTAGCAAGGAAACAACTTCAAAATATTTCTTGAAAAGTCACTTCAAACATCCCTTAAAAAGTTACATCAACAAACATACCAGAGATAAACAGAAAAGCATCCCAGACTGCAGCCCCCCAAAAAGAAAACAAGTGTTGGTAATAGGAGATTCTATCCTCAAAAGAACAGAATCATCCATCTGCATCCCAGACATACAACCCAGGGAGATAGGTTGTCTCCCTGGAGCAAAAATCAAAGACGTGGCTGAGAACCTAACCAAAATAATTAGGCCTACAATTTACTGCCATATTTCCTCCATATTGGGATGAATGACACAACAAAGAACCCACAAACAACTAGGCAATAAAGTTAAGAACCTAGGAACACAAGTAGTGTTCTCATCACTACTCCTAACGAAAGGCCAACACCCATTGAGGGAAAAAAGAATTTTAGAAATAAACCAATGGCTAAAGGGTTGGTGTCACCAAGAAACCCTTGGTTTCCTGGATCATGGACTGCATTTCCTTCATGAAGGACTCTTGGCAAGGGATGGGCTGCACCTCACGAAAACAGGGAAAAATGTACTCGGAAAAAGACTGGCCCAACTCATCAGGAGGGCTTTTAATTAAAATTGAGGGGGGAGGGTGCCCAATCTTCAGAATCTCTAGAACCCCAAACTAATAATAAATCCCAAGAAAACAAATCAAACAATGAGGTGGGCAGAGATGAGAAAAAAGAAAAACTCAAACAATATTCAGGAGATGCAGGAAATATACTCACGGACAGGCATAAAAGTCTTAAATGCTTATATACAAATGTTCAAAGGTTAGGGAACAAACAGGGCAAACTAGAAGCAATAGTACACGAGAGAGGGTATGACATAGTTGGTATTACAGAAACCTAGTGGGACAAAACCCATGAATGGAATGGTCTGATGACTGGATACAAATTGTTCAAAAGAAACAGATCTACAAAAAGAGGGGGGGAGTTGCACTATATGAAAGAGAACACTACATATCTACAGAAATGCACATGATCAAAGATAAAATCTCTCCAAAATGCATAAGGGTCAATATAAAAGAGAAAAAAAGTGACATTACCATAGGTGTATATTATAGACAACCCAATCAATCAGAAGAAACAGATGAAGTATTTGCCAACCAGTTAACAAATATATGTAGGAAGCATACCACAATAGTAATGGGAGATCAACTGTCCAGATATCAACTGGGAGACAAACTCTGCAGTGAGCAAGAGATCAAACAGATTCCTAAGCAACCTAGCCAACAACTTTGTCATCCAAAAGGTGGAGGAGGGAACTAGATGTAAAGCCATACTGGACTTAATTCTTACTAATAGAGAAGAAGTGATAGAGGGAGTTGAAGTTACTGGAACCTTGGGTGAAGGTGACCACATCATACTGGAATTTAATATAATGCAAACACTAGCAACAGAAAACAATCCAACCAGTGTCTTAAACTTCAAAAGAGCTGACTTTAACAATCTCCGAGAGAACCTAGGAAAGATCCTATGGATGAAAATCCTAAAGGGAAAAATAACCACCAAAACATGGAAAACTCTGAAAAATGAGATAATAAAAGTCCAGACCAGCACAATACCACTGAAAAAGAAAAACAAGAAATTCAAGAAGAAACCAGTATGGTTGCACAAAGATCTCTCTGACAAACTGAAAGACAAAAAGGACAAATACAAAAAATGGAAAGAGGGGCATCTAAGTAAAGCCGATTATCAGCAGACAGCCAGAACATGCAAAGATGAAGTCCAGGAAAGCAAAGGCTCTGAACGAACAATCTTACAACAGAAATCAAGAATAATAAAAAAGTTTTTTCCAACATATTAACAATAAGAAAGAAATCAAGGAAACTGTAGGCCCAATAAAGAGAGAAGATGGCAAGGAAATAACAGGCAACAGGGAGAAAGTAGAGCTGCTTAACTCATACTTTGCATCAGTCTTCACACAAAAAGAAACTATAGCCCAACATACCCCCCCAAAAAAAACCAACACCCCACTGTAAAAGATACATTAGAAACAAAAATTAAAATAAGCAAGAAAATGGTAAGAGAACACCTATTCGACCATATCTTTCATAAATCCTGAAGCACTGGGGAAGTACCTGAGGATTGGAGAAGGGCTGATGTGGTTCCCATCTTCATGATAGGAAAAAAAATGGATCCAGGAAACTATAGACCAATCAGTTTAACATCAATATCTGGGAAGATCCTGGAAAAGATAATCAAAAACCAGATCTGTGAACAACCAGAAGCAAACAAAGTTATAACTAGTAGCCAGCATGGATTTGTCAAAAACAAATCATGCCAACCAATGTTATTTCATTCTTCGATAAAGTGACTAAACTAATAGACCAGCAAAATACTGTGGACGTAGTATACTTAGACTTCAGTAAGGCATTTGAAAAGGTAGACGACAACCTACTCCTTGGTAAGCTAGAAAAAGGTGGAATAGACAACATAACCAGCAGATGGATCTGTAGCTGGCTGGCAAACCATATTCAACGAGTAGTCCTCAATGGCACCATATCCACATGGGGAGAAGTAAGCAGTGGGGTACCACAAGTTTCCATTTTAGGCACTCTTCAATATCTTCATAAATGACTTAGATGAGGGAATTGAAGGGGAACTCATCAAATTTGCAGATGACACCAAACTGGCAGGAGTAGCCAACACTCCAGAAGACAAACTCAGGATCCAAAAAAATCTTGACAAACTTGAACAATGGGCCCTGTCTAACAAAATGAGTTTCAATGTGGAGAAAAGCAAAGTTTTACATTTAGGCAGGAAAAATCAAAGGCACAAGGCTGGACAAGACCTGTTTTAAAAACAGTAACTGTGAGAAGGACCTTGGAGTCCTAGTGGATGATCACTTGACCATGAGCCAGTAGTATGCAGCAGCCGCCAAAAAAGCTACCGTAAATGCCAGCGTACAAGGCGACCCGGCATATAAGATGACCCCCGTCTTTATAGCCGGGCCGCATTCCTAGAACGTTGTCTTATACGCCGGAAACAACCAGTATTTCTGGCATATAAGACGACTCCCGTCTTTGGCGCCGATTTCAGCACTCGCGGAAGTCGCCTTATATGCCGGCATTTACAGTAATACAATCCTGGGTTGTATAAACAGAGGCATAGAATCAAGATCATGCGAAGTATTAGTACCGCTTTATAAAACCCTAGTAAGATCACACCTGGAATACTGCAGCCAATTTTGGTCACCATATCAAAAAAAGATGTCGAGAGTTTGGAAAAAAAATTCAGAGAAGAGCAACTAAAATGATCAAAAGCCTAGAAACTAAAACATACAAAGAACGGCTACAGGACTTGGATCTGACTAGTCTAAAGAAAAGAAGAAATAGGGGAGATATGATAGCAGTATTCCAGTACTTGGGGGGGCTGCCACAAAGAAGAGGGAGTCACGTTATTCTCCAAAGCACCAGAGGGCAGGACAAGAAACAATGGTTGGAAACTTGAACAAAGAGAGAAGCAACCTAGAATTAAGGAGAAACTTCCTGACAGTGAGGACAATTAACCACTGGAACAGCTTGCCTCCGGAAATCGTGGGCACTCCATCAGTGGAGATTTTCAAGAAGAGGCTAGACAGTCATTTGTCTGAGATGGTATAGATTCTCCTGCTTGAGCAGGGAGCTGGACTAGAAGACCTCCAAGGTCCCTTCCGGCTCTATTCTATTCAAATTCAGTAGTTATTAATTTTTGCCAAAAATACAGTAATCTTGTGTGGTCCTTTGGTGCTGTTGGACAACAGAGACAAAATGAAGGTAATGTGTTGAATACTCCAATCACACTTCATCTTTTACAATATTTTTATTCTCTTTATATTTCAAAGAGAAGTCGAGGTATTGAAAAAAGAAACTAAAATAAATTATTTTGTTTGCATTTATAGTAATGCACATTACATGTTACACACATTGGGTGTGTGAGAGGAATTTACTGATCATGTAGATGGAAGAGACCCAACTTGAGGATAAAATGCTGATGAATCAATACTGTATTCATTGGCTATCTCTTCTCTAAACTCTTAAATTTCAATTTTGCAAACTATTTTCATGGGTTTTTTATCTCTTCCCATGATCGCTGGATTTTCCTTACAAATAGACTATATATAGACTCTGGCCTTCAGATTTCACTCTTTCCAATTGTCAGGAATCAGATTCAGTCTTGCACATGCTGCACTTTAAGGAAAAAATAACCATGAGGTATGGGGTGGCCAATTAAGAACAAAAATGGACTATGCAAATAAATATTTAATACACTAAATTTGACTTTGAAATACAGTATCTTTCTGCTAGCAGAAACTATAGCAGTACTATACTTTGCCGTTGTCCCTTTGTTTGACTGGTGATATCTTTGAACAGAAAAAAACTGAACTCCACTTTAGCCAGACATGGAGACAAGAAGCAAAGAAAAACAATAAGTCTAAATTTAAAGATGAAGATTATCAAATAGCTTGATGGGTGAAAAAGATGAAAATTATTGCACTAGAAGAAATGCTGGCCTATTCCACCACCTCCACTATCCTAAAGGATAAAAAAATGAATAGAAAGATGATTAAAGAAGCACTAGTAAGGATACCATCATTATCAACAGGGTTCATCCATAGGCAGAAAAAACTGCTTAAAATGTGGACTGAGGATCAATTTCAAAAAAAGGTTCCAATTAGCCTTCTTTTCATTGAGATTAAGGCATACAGTATTTCCAAAACCCTGAAGGAAAGAGCAAGCAAGGAATGCATGAGACATTCACTACCAGCCATGGCTGGTTCATGTGGTTTCAAAAAATATTTATTTATCATAACATATACAAGAAAGGTGAAGCCGCAAACAATGATGAAAAAGCTGCCTAATGCTTTCTGGATAAACTTGCAATCATAGCAGAAGGCAACTATTTCCCTGAATAGATCTTCAATGTGCATAAAACTGAGTTGTTTTGGAGAAAAATGCCAAAACATATCTACATTCAGAAAAAGGCCAAACCAATACCTGGACAGAAAGCATTCAAGGACAGAATAATCTTGTTTTGGGGCAGAAATGTCTCTGGATTCAAGCTGAAGCCATGTATGAGCCATAAATCAAAGAACCTCCATGCATTGAAAAAGCATCAGCAAGCACATTGTCCCTATTTATTCCTGATCCCATTGAAAAGCTTGCATAATACAAGTTGTCTTGAAGATTGGTTTATAAGTTGTATTGTACCCCAAGTAAAGACCTATTGCTTGGAAAACAGAATTCTTTCCAAAATTCTCCAGTCTTCAATATCACCCCTGGATAACCATCTCAGTAACCTCCACCCAGATGTAAAAGTAGTTTACTCCCCTTCTATAGC